ACCGGAGCCACGGAGGGGAGGCCCCAGGGGACAGATGATGACAGCTGTACCTCCAGCAATGAGGAGAGAGAGAGAAAAGAGGAAAGAGAGAGGCCTGACGTGCCCAGGGCCCCGAGTCAGTGCAGGCACCGGATCGGCCCAGGCTGTAGGGGAGGCGGGAGCGGGGAGGCCGAGACCTGCCCGGTGCTGGCAGGTAGAAGGCCTGTGGCCACATTGTCTGGGGCATGAGCCACCTGCAGCAGAGGTAAGGGTGCAGGGTGAAGACTGCTCGTGCCGAGTTCAGCACAGGTTCACCTTGCGAGGGCCAGGCGGCCTCGGGGTCCTGCACCCTACAGCAGGGAGCGTGGGAACAGCGGGGAACGAGGCCCCCCGGGAACTGTGGACTAGCGCCTCGGAGCCTGGCCCTTGGTCCGAAGGTGGGCACAGCCCTGCAGCATCGCCGAGGGAGTCACCGACAGCAGGGACCCCGACCCAGCGCTCAAGCCTCGGAGCCCAGCTGTGGGCCTGGCCCTGAGGCCCTGGCCGGTGGAAAGGGAGCCCCGGGGAGGCAGGACATCAGGTGTAGGCAGGCGGTGGGACAGCCTGCAGGCAGGGCGGCTGCTTTAGGCCAGGGGGTGGCGCGGCCCCTCTGAGGGGGGGACAGTTCAGCCACTGTCTGAACAAGAAGAAGTGAGCCTTTGCGGATTAGGGGGAAGTGTTTCCAGACAAAGATGATGACTGCTATTGTTATAATAATACCTAAAAACAGCGGATTTCAAAGAAAAAAATATAACCCTATACCAGTGCCCAAGAAAGTGCCAGGTATTTCTTTTAACAAGACAGAAATATGGAAAAGAGAGGGCATTTATTAAATACCTACTATGTGCCAGTCTCTCTGCTAGATGCTTTACGTGCACCGCCTCTTTTACCTCCCAGCAAGATGAGCAGAGGTAGTAATTTTTAAAAGAGGTCATTGGAGGCACTTTGAAAGGGGGGACGATTAAATCCATGGAAAAACAGGCACAGCTTTGCAGCAGCGGAACAAAACTGTTACTCAACCCCCTCCCTACAACACACACACAGACCTTTCTTGGCCAAGCTAGGCATGTCTATCTGTCTGTCTTTATATATTTTCTTTATATAGTTTGAGAGTGAGTGAGAGTGAGTGTGTGAGTCGGGGGTGGGGGTTGGGGGAGGGGCAGAGGGAGAGAGAGAATCTCAAGCAGGCTCCATGCCCAGCACAGAGCCTGATGCAGGGCTCGATCCCGTGACCCTGAGTTCATGACCTGAACTGAAACCAAGAGTTGGATGTCTAACTTACTGAGCCACCTAGGCGCCCCTTGAGCATATTTTTCAAGGTAATCTGTAGCCACTCCTTGAAGCTCCCTCTTTCCTAGAAGGCAATGGATAGGATCAAGCTATTTTATTCCTACTTTACACATGGGGAAATGGAGGCTCAGAAATGAATACTTGCCCCGGTGCACATCACTAGTTAGGTTTTGCAGCCATAAATAAACCAAACCTCCAGAAACTTCCAGTGCTCAGATGGGGACAGACTAGAGGTGGCCGGGCAGCTGCGGTGAATCGTGAGCTGACCATGTACTGCACATCATGCTTGACACTCTGCAGACAGTACCTCACAGTAACTCACTGTGCCTAGGCAGTTCAATGGGTTAAGTGTCTGCCTTCAGCTCAGGTCACGATCTAGAGTCCTGGAATGGAGCCTCAGATCGGGCTCCCTGCTCATCCAGGAGTTGTCGTCTCCCTCTGCCCCTCCCCCTACTCATGCTCTCTTTCTCTCAAATAAATAAAATCTTTTTAAAAAAGATTTTGAATAAAAAATAAATCTTTTTAAAAAAGATTTTATTATTTATGAGAGACACACACACACACAGAGAGAGGCAAAGACACAGGCAGAGGGAGAAGCAGGCTCCATGCAGGGAGCCCAATGTGGGACTCGATCCCAGGACCCTGGGGGTCACGTCCTGAGCCAAAGGCAGACACTCAACCACTGAGCTGCCCAGGCGTCCCAATAAATAAAATCTTTAAAAAGAAAATAAAACTCCCAGTACCCCATTGAGGTAGGCACCACTATTAGCATCTCAATTTTATACCCGGGGAATGCCTGGCAGTGGGAGATGAGCAGGGCGGAATTGGAACTCAATGTACGTAACAAAAGTCATCATTTTAAACATTTTTAAGTGTACAGTTCAGTGGGATTAAGTGACCATCACCACCATCCGTGTCTGGAACTCTTCATATCTTCTTAAACGGAAAGTCTGCAAGCATTTACCCTAACTCCCCACTCCCAGCCCCTGGGAACCACCATCTGTCTGCCTCTGTGAGTTTGATCATTCCAGTACTTCATCTAAGTAGAATTACACTTTGTCTGGTGACTGGCTTATTTCGTTGAGCGGAACAGGTTCCAGGGTTGGAGCAGGTGTCAGAGGCTAAATAATATCCCATTGTATGGATGGAGCACATCTTACTTATCCATTCATCTGTCTATGGACACCTGGGTTCTTCCTACCTTTGGCTCCTGTGTCTAGTCCTGCTGTGATCACAGGTGTTCGAGCCCACTGTTTTGTGTTATATACACAAGTGAAGCTGCAGGATCATAGTTTTATTCTTAATTTTTTGAGAAAAACCCATACTGTTTTTTTTTAAGTTTTCAAGTTTTATTTTATTATTTTTAAAGATTTTATTTATTTATTCATGAGAGACAGAGATAGAGAGGCAGAGACACAGGCAGAGGGAGAAGCAGGCTCCATGCAGGGAGCCTGATGTGGGACTCGATCCTGGATCCTAGGATCACGTCCTGAGTCGAAGGCAGATGCTCAACCACTGAGCCTCTAGGTGTCCCATAAGTTTTCAAGTTTTAATTTAAATTCTAGTTAGTTAGCATATAGTACAATATTGGTTTCAGGAGTAGAATTCAGCCAGTTATCACTTTCATACAACACCCAGTGCTCGTCACAAGTGCCTCCTTCACACCCATCACACATCTAGCCATCCCCCACTTCCCCCTATCAGCCCTCACTTTCTTCTCTATCGCTGAGTCTCTCATGCTTTGTTTCCCTCATTTTTTTCTCTTCCCCTATGTTCATCTGTTTTAAGTTCCAAGTATGAGTGAAATCATATGGCATTTGCCTTTCTCTGACTGACTTCGCCATACTGCTTTTAATAAAGGCACACCATTTTGCATTCTCAGCAGCAATGGTCAAGGGTTCTAACTTCTCCACATTTTAGCCAACACTTGTGGTTGTTTTTTTTTTTTAAGATTTTATTTATTTATTCATGAGAGACACACAGAGAGAGGTGCACAGACACAGGCAGAGGGAGAAGCAGGCTCCATGCAGGGAGCTGGACGTGGGACTTGATTCCGGGTCTCCAGGATCATGACCTGGGTTGAAGGCAGTGCTAAACTGCTGGGCCACCTGGGTTGCCCAACACTTGTGTTTTTAGGATAGGCCTCCTAATGGGTGTGAGGTGGTATCTCGTCGTGGTCTTGATTTGCATTTACCCGAGGAATAGTTGATGTTGTGTGTCTCTTCATGCGACTTTTGGCCATTGTGTATCATCTTTGGAGAGACATCTATGCAAGCCCTTTGCCCATTTTTTAAACAGGTTGTGTGTTTCTCTGATGTTGAATTGTAGGTATTCTTTTTGTATTCTAGCTACTAACTCCTTATCAGAGACACGATCTGCAAATATTTAATCCGTTTTGTGGGTTGCCTTATGGCTGCTGTTAGTGTCCTTTGATGCACAAAAGTGTGTAATTTTGATCTAGTCCAAGTTGTCTATATTTGTTGCTGTTGGATTCTTTTAGTCATATGCATGACTCCGATGTCATGAGGATTTTCGTTTTTTTTCCCCTAATAGTTAATGTCTGTTTTAATATATGAAAATAACGAGCACCATAAACATCATTTAACAGATGTTTTGTATTTAGTTTTAAAAAAATTTACGATATTAATTTAAATAAATACCCCAAGGAATGGCAGAGTTTTGTAGACATCTTGTAACTGGCACCCAAATGATTGATGTTTGGTACATAGTGTATTACACTAAATTGCAACCTATTAGATCTATTCCTGTGCTCAGTGTTAAAGAAAAAAATCATCCACGGCACCTGCTTACCCAAGGCCGACTTACCCAGGGGGGCCATTGCGGCAGCTTCTTCCCAAGGGGAAAGCCCCAGTGTTTTGATGTGAGCCTGTCAGCTGGTAGCAGTTTTGGAGAAGGAGGACTAGTAGGAGTGACACACCATTTGCTGAGTATTTTGTGCGGTTCTAAGTGCTCCGTGTGTATGGACCTCGGCCTCGTAACATCCTGACTCATCATCACCTTTCACAAGTGAGCACACTGTGGTCGATGAGCTGCCGAACTCTCCGCAGATCCTGCAGATCCTGCAGCCCGTAGCCCAGTGGAGGGGGCGTCACCCGTTTCTCCAGAATGGCTGGGACCAGGGCTGAGCATCACAAGACACCTCCGCTTGCAGCGACTCAAACAGCACAAACACAGCCAGAAGTCTGCGGGCTGGTAGGCACTCAGCTGTGGGTTGGTTCAGAAGCTCAGGGCGTTAGGGCCTCGGGGCTTTCCGAGCCGCCGCCCTCCTAGCGGCAGGAAGGCTGCAGCAGCTCCGCGATGCTGATGCCCGGGCAGGAGAACGCCGCGCCCACGCCTCCCGTCCCTTCCTGCCCACCACTCGGTCCTGGGGCCCAGCCCTCCGCAGCCCCGCAGCCCCGCTGCACCGCCCGCCCCGCCCCGCCCCGCAGCCTGCATACAAGCCCCCGCCCAGGGCAACACCCACACGAAGATCCCGGGGCCGCCTCTCTGGGACTACAACTCCCAGAAATCCGCTCCCCAGCCGGCTCGCCGGCGCCGATTGGCTCGCTGCGCCATCCATCAACCACCAACTACCGGAAGACGGCTGCTGGCGGCGCTCCACGGCCAATCACGAGAGCGAGGGGGCGGGAGCTCCCCCAGCCGGTCCGACGCCAGGAGTGCAGGCGTGGCGGGACGCCAAAGGAATCGGTTCTTCGGAGAGCCACGCGAGTCAGTGGTCGGAGAGTTGACAGGCCGGCCCTCCGCGGAGTGATGCCTGGGGCAGAAGCCCCGTTTTGCCCAGAAGACTCCAGAGTCCGCTCCGCCGGCTGCTGCCCCCGGCGCCAGGCCCAGGCGGCCTTCGCCCCGCCCCCCGTCTCTCATTGGCTCCCCCGGGACACGTGGGGGAAGGAGGCGTGGCCATCGCGGCTGGGGCGGGCGGCCTGCGGCCGGCGGGGATGAGAGGCCCGCGGACTCGGGCCTGGGGCCGCATGGCAACCGTGGTGCCGGGCTGCTGGCGACGGCGGAGGGCAGAGGAGCTTCAGGTTCCGGGGGACGCGGTGAGCCTCTGCCCCCCGGGCCTGGGCGAGAGGAACGGGATGGCGGAAGCCCCGGACGTGTTCCGCGGGGCCTCTCGTCCCCACCCCGGGAGCCTTCCAGGAGGAGGCCTGTCCCGGGTCGCGCCGGCGCCCTCTTGGAGGGGTGGGCGTGGCCAGGGCCCAGGGGGCGTGGCCGAGACGCTGCCCCGCCCCCCGGGCCGCGCCTGCGCAGAGGTGCGGGAGGCGCTCGCGGTGACCCTGCCCGGTGTACGGGCTCGGGGTGCAGGCTGCCTCGGGGTGGGGGCACGAAGCATGTGTCACATCGGCCCTGGAACGGAAGCTTCAAACCACATAGGCTCCGACAAGGTGGAAGCATGATTCTGCTGCTCATAATGTGTGGAGGGGAGCAGGCCAGGGCAGTGGCATGGGGACCCTAAATACAGGTATGGGGCTGGTGCTACCCAGACTCCCGTGTCCTGCACTCCCCAGTGTTGTCCTCTCATGTGAGGTCAGCGCTAGGTCATCAGTACATCGCTCACATTCCATACAGTGCGAAGTAAATAGTAAAGTGACATGATCGTACTGACATTTTAAGAGCTTATTTTGGAAGCTCTGGGGAAAATGCAGGGTATGGTGGTCAGAGTGAAGGCGAGGAGGCAAGGAGTGTATGGATTACGAGAGGTGACAGGCTTGGACAGAAAGGACAGGAAGACCGTGAATGTCGGGCAGAAGGCTTTGTATGTTGGAGGAACCATGGACAGGTCAATGGACAGGCCTTGCCGATGGAGCAGTCGCAGGAGGTCAGGGAAGCGGAGTCGTCCGGGTTGGCTCCCAGGGCTGTGACTTGAGCACTTGGGCAGGCAGTGCTGAGAGAAAATTGGTGTGGAACTGGGGGAGAAAAGGAGCTCCCGGCGGGACACACTGTGTTTTCCATCTTTGGGACGTTTAACAGAGAGGTTACAGATTGAGTGGTTCCAGGTGGATCATCTGAATTTCACAATAAACTGTTACTGTTCCCAGATTACGAGTGAGGAAGCTGAGATCCAGAGAGGTTAATCAGCGGCTTGAAGATACACTGCTAGCAGGGAAGTAGGGATTAAACGGCACCGGCTGCCTCGAGAGCCTGTCCTCTTAGCCACCGGGCTCTGTAGCCTCCCATGTGGGGCTTTGCAACAAAGTCCTAAATTGGCCATAAAATGATGGAAAGTGTGATGCCACAGGCTGTCAGGGACCAGGCACCAGAGCTCATTATTTTTTTTTTTTTAAGATTTTATTTATTTATCATGAGAGACACATAGAGAGAGGCAGAGACACAGGCAGAGGAAGAAGCAGGCTCCATGCAGGGAGCCCGACATGGGACTCAGTCCCAGGTCTCCAGATCACACCCTGGGCTGAAGGCAGGCGCTAAACCACTGAGCCACAGGGGCTGCCCCAGAGCTCATTATTGATCAGAGAGAAAGAAAGGCTTACAGGAGAAGCCTTAAGGATCCTTCAGATTGCAATCCTGAAACTTAAGTACCCAGCTTGAGGCTGCAGTACTTCCCGGCTGTTATCCAGGAGTAGTGAGTTCAGAGTCTAATCGCCAAGGTGTGTATGGCCTCCTAATCTGATAAAGTCAGATTCCTTGTATATATTGTGTTGTGCCTTTGGCCTTTGCTCTAATAATCCAGATTGAGTTCAGTAAAGTATCCAAGTCCTTGTCCCGAGTTTTCCGTTCTCTTTCTCTCTCTCAAACACACATGCCCTCTTCCAGAATTTGGTTACGAGAGAAGTACAACCCATTTCCGTCCTCTGCTCACAGATTAGTGGCGCTACACCTTGTGCATTATAACCACCTGTGGGGTTTTAGAAACCGCAACCGTCGAGACCCATCTCTGCATGATTCTCAGGCAGAGCCAGAGGCAGCCACCTCCTGTGATCGCCTGAGTGTCCTGATTGTGGGAAGGGTACCTGATGTGGTGACACGTGCTGCAGTTAGGTATCAGTGGGGTTTGGGTTGACGCGTTTTGAGGACCCGTCATAGAGCAAACACTGTTCTAGGCTCTGCAAAAAGAAAAAAAATGACATATTTGGTTAGATTGACCCTGAGACTTGGGGACATCCAGTGCTTGGCTCTTGCAGGCCCCCTGCCCACGGCACACTCACCACACTACCTGTTCCAGAAGAGAGACGCATGCCCAGAACACCTGGAGTCATGCATACTCACCCTGTGCTGTCCATGAAGTTGCTCCTTCCAGACCGCTGTAAAAAGCAAGTTCTTTGGGGGAGCAACACCCGCCATGTCTGGGCTCACAATTGATTTGGTATCTTTTCCAGTTTCCCCTGGGTTGATCCAAGTTTTCCAGCTTCTGATTTCCTCTATTATACTTTGATTCTTTGTCAGTATCCTATAGCAATAGCATATTAGGGTGCATTAATTAACTGGGTATTGACAGGTTTTTCTGTTTATTCTTTTAAAAACATTCTTACCTTTGCGTTTCTTTTTTTGATATATACTTTATAGTTGAAGCATAATGTACAGTGTTATAGTAGTTTCAGATACACAGTGTAATTTTTCATCAATTCTGTATATTACTCGGTGTTCATCATGGCAAGCGTACTCTTCATCCCCTTTGTTTTACCCATCCTCCCACCCATCTCCCCGTTGCAACCACCAGTTCTCTTTAAAAGGGTTTTTTTTTTTTTCCTCCTTTGGTCTCTTTTAGTTTGTTCCTTTGTTCTGTTTCTTAAGTTGCACATATGCAAAAGCATATAGCATTTGTCTTTTTCTGACTTATTTCCTTTAGGTCAACAGTCTATTCCTATAGTCTGACTGACTATATTCTTTAGGTCAATCCATGTTACAAATAGCAAGACCTTTTTTGTGGCTGAGTAATACTCCATTGTGTATGGAATCTTTAGCCATTCATCTGTGGATGGACACTTGGGCTGCTTGCATTATCTTGGCTGTTGTAAATGATGCTGCTATAAACATAGGAATACATGTATCTTTTTGCATTAGTGTTTTTGTTTTCTTTGGGTAAATACCCAATCATGGAATTATTGGATCATAAAATTTTATTTTTAATTTTTTGAGGAACCTCCATACTATTTTCCACAGTGGCTGCTCCAGTTTGCGTTCCCACCAATGGTGTACAAGGGTTCCTTTTTCTCCATATCCTCACCAACACTTGTCATTTCCTGGGTTTTTTTATTTTAACCATTCTGACACATGCAAGGTGGAAGCTCATTATACTTTTGATTTGCATTTCTGTGGTGATTAATGATGTTGAGCATCATTTCACGTGTCTGTTGGCCATCTGTATGTCTTCCTTGAAAAAATGTCTACTCATGTCCTGCCCATTTTAATTGGATTATTTGGGTTTTTTGGTGTTGAGTTGTAGGAGTTCTTTATATAGTTTGGATGTTATCCCTTTACTGTGCATATCGTCTGCAAATATCTTCTCCCGTTCAGTAGGTTGCCTTTTTGTTTTATGGATGATCTCCTTTGCTGTGCAAAAGCTTTTTGTTTTGATGTATACTCAATAGGTTATTTTTGCTTTTGTGTCCCTTGCCTCAGCAGACATATATAGTAAGAAGTTGCTATGGTCAGTGTCAAAGAGGTTGCTGCCTGTGTTTTCTAGAATTTTTATTGTTTCAGATCTCACATTTAGGTCTTTAATTCATTATTTCATTATTTTGCACGTAGCTCTCCAGTTATCCTGACACCATTTATTAAAGAGGCTGGCTTTTCCCCATTGTATACTCTTACCTCCTTTGTCATAGATTAATTGACCATATAATTATGGTTTTATTTCCGGGTTATCTGCTCTGTTCCTTTGATTTCCATGTCTGTTTTTGTGCTAATACCATGCTATTTTGATTACTACAGCTTTGTAGAATATCTCGAAATCTGAGGTTGTGATACCAGCTTTGTTCTTTCTTAAGATTGTTTTGGCCATTTGGGGTCTTTTTTGGTTCCATACAAATTTTAATATTATTTGTTCTAGTTCTGTGAAAAATTTTTCGGTAAGGATTGCATTAAATTTGTAGATTGCTTTGGGTAGTGTGGACATCTTAACAATATTGGTTCTTCTCATCCATGGGCATGGAATACCTTTCCATTTTTTTGTCTTTAAATTCTTTCATCAGTGTTTTAGAGTTTTCAGAATACAGGTCTTTTACTTCTTTGGTTCAGTTTATTCCTAGGTATTTTATTATTTTTAGTGCAATTATAAATGGGATTGTTTTCTTAATTTCTCTTTCTGCTACTTCATTATTAGTGTATAGAAGTACAACAGATTTCTATATATTAATTTTGTATCCTGAGACTTTACTGAATGTTTTTGATACTTGGCCTTTGTTTAGATGTAAGTAAATGATAAAGTTCCAGCCTACCATTTTCACCAGTTCTTGGTATTATGAATAGTTGCCCCTAAAATCAAGGGCTGAGGATATCTTTTTTTTTGGTGAGGATATCTTATTATCCACTCTGCTCTGTTTATAAATTTTAGACCTGCCTTTACTAATGCTTGAAAAATTATCTAGTAAATTCAACTAGCAGACCTTGTCAGCAAAACCACTGAGACATGTTGATGACTTTACCTCCATTCAAGTGACCCTGTGGGGTCTAACTTGTAAAGAGAGAAAATTCAGAGTTAAATTTGCTTGTTCTGGGATGCCTGGGTGGCTCAGCGGTTGAGCGTCTGCCTTTGGCTTGGTGTGATTCCAGGTCTGGGGATCAAGTCCCATATTGGGCTCCCTTCAAGGAGCCTGCATCTCCCTCTGTCTGTGTCTCTGCCTCTCTCTGTGTGTCTCTCATAAATAAATAAATAAAATCTTAAGAAAATTTGCTTGTTTCATCCTGTAGGATGTAGATTTTATAGCTCATCTGCTAAGCAAGATCCTTAACTATGAGAACTTAATGAGTACTGGCCATGGTGCCGATCCTAGCAAAACCCTTCACTCTGCCTTTCTCTGGTCACTCTTCTCATTCAAGATAATTGCAACCCATGCTTCAAAAACCAAGTTATTTAATTCTC